TGACCAACAGTACAAGCAATTCTTACTTTCTGATATTAATCCTGAAATAATATATAAGATTGCCAGGTTCTTTGTGGTACATACAAAATGAGACAAATAATAATTAAAAACAGCTGAATTTGTTGGAGTAGAGAATGGCTTTGCCTCAGTACTACCTACTGGTCATTTTTACATCCACTACTGTATTGTAACTTCCTCAGATTTGTCGGGAGCTCTATAATGCTAATATTTTAGGTTAGTTTTAACTAATAAGAATAAAGACACACACACACACACACACACACACACACACACACACACACAGAGAGAGAGAGAGAGAGAGAGAGAGATTTGATTTTGTTCTTCCTATTAGTTTACAACATGGCACTCAGTACAGAGTGACATTGAAGGGAGTGACCAGTGCAATGAAATGTTCAGTGCATGGCTGGCAACACTTGGAAATTACTGGCAATGTAGTTAAAATGGTACAGATAAAAGCCAAAAAAATGAAAACTTTCAATATTGTACCCATGGGAAGGGCTGTTTCAGAGAGCCCTATGTGCATTGGGCATTTATAAAGCATGTGTCATTTCCAGTCTTCTGTGCAGCACAGGGTTAATAGTCTCTCAATAGTTGAGCAGGTAAAAAAGTAAAGGTTTCCAGATCCAGTCATGCCAAACTCTGCTTCTTGGATAAGGGACAAAGTGTTATGCAAAGAGACTTTCTGCGGCCATGTGGCCAGCATGGCTAAAAGCACACTGAATGCTGTTACCTTCCTACTGAAGTGGTACCTATTAATTTATTCACATTTGCATGCTTTCAAACTGTTAGATGGGCAGGAGAAAACAATGGATATGTTTGAATCCTCTAAAGAATGCTGAGTATACTGAGGGCAACAGTCAGGCACTATGTGGACAGCTACAGTTGTAGAAACCTGGGGTTTGTTCCCTCCCATAGCCCAATCCAAAATGGGCATGGACTAGAAGGAAGAGACCTCAGCAGCCTGAGATGACTAATAAGATCTGAGAGGGACCTAGTTCCTAACTTTAATCATCCACCACATTATTGAAGAAATGGTGTCCATTGAGTCCAAATTGTGTTAGGACAAGTGGAGAAACACTGCATTTAAATTGGACAATGAAACATAATGTTACCTCCACACTGGAGCTGAGATTAAGCAAACACAATATTATGAAAAGATACTGTTATGTCTGTGGAACTGGTTGGAGTTCCCAACCAGGTCCGCTGTTTGAGCGGGAGCACCAGCTGCTCCCATTGGCTGGCTCCGTTTGACAGTCGGCTATAAAAGCCGGCTGTCGAGCAGAGCCAGCCCTGTTGTCGCCAGCTAGTCTGCTAGTTAGCAAGCAGACGCGACAACCCTTTATTCTCTGCAATAAAGCCTTGTTAGTTGTACGCTCTGGTTTCTGCCTCTTCCTTACCATCGCTCAACAACACTGGCGACGAGGATGGGATACGGTCGAAGGCTAGCCAGATGCGTTTGCTTCAAAGAGCTGTAGTCACTGAGGGCGAAGCCACGAGCGCTGAAGCCGCAACCACCAATGCTCACAAAGAGCGCGAAATTCAAAAAACCGCCATTGCTTTGAGCTGTACTCACTGAAGCAAGCCACGGGCGCTGTAGCCACAGCCGCTGGCGCTCACAAAGAGCGCGAAATTCAAAAAAGAGCTCCATAGCCTAGAGAGACAGTCACAGCCTGCACTCTTTTAAGAGCGCGAGTTCAAAAGACGACTGAAGAAGACGAACCCTGCATTTTCACAATGAATGCTAATCCAGCATTCCCACCATTCAAGCCAAACGAGGAAACATGGGACTCCTACAAAAATCGTTTCAGCCATTTCCTCAATGCCATCGGGTTAGCTGACGCTGCTGAACATAGGAAGAAGTCCTATTTCCTCAGCTATTGTGGGGCTGCAGTTTTTGACACCGCTACAGCGTTAGTCACCGCACGCGCTATCAGAAGCGTCCCATGGGATGAACTACAAGAAATCCTCTCCAACCACTACTCGCCAAAACCATCCCAGATAGCCAGAAGGTACGCCTTCAGAATTAGAAAACAGGCAGAGGGGGAGTCAATCAACGAGTATATGGCAGCCCTGAGGACAGCTGCCTTGCAGTGCGGGTTCAAAGACTACTTAGAAGACATGTTGTTGGACCAGATCGTCTGTGGGGTTAGAGACCTGAGACTCCAAAGACGCTTGCTGGCAAAAAAGGACTTGAATCTATCCCTAGCCATGGAGGAAGCCCTAGCTGCTGAGCTCTCTGCCCAATCAGCAGCTGAGATTCAAGGCACTCCATTAAAGCCCAGCAGTTCCACCATCCATTCAGAAGAAGTGCTCAGTGAAGAAGACCCCACAGACTCATCTGACATTAACTGCCTCAAGCATCAGAAGCCTTCACAGGTAGGAGCGGGACAGAGAAACAACTTCGCCACCAAACAACCTCCCATTTGCCTAACCTGTGGAGGCTCCCACTCTAGGGCATCCTGCAGCCATCTGCCTGAATTGCCAAAAGAAGGGTCACCTTGCTAGAGTCTGCCAAGCAGGGCGCACTTTGCCTCAAAGACCTCCACCACCTTCTAATTCCCAAAGGCAAGTGGAGGACTGCTATACCTGCTACCACGCTAACCATACTTCCCAAGCCCCTGATAAAATCAAAATTTCTGTTTTCCTAGAAGGTAAACCCTGCAGGATGGAGGTAGACACGGGATCTGCGCTCTCAATCATCTCCTGGGAATCCTTGAAGAAGATCCAGCCCAGACTGTCAAAGAAGCAGCTACAAAGATGCCACCTGACACTGCGGGACTACCAGGGCAAGAACATCCCTGTCCTTGGGAAAGGCAAGTTTCTCATTCAATAACAAGCCTTTAAAGGCCATTTGCCTTTAGTGGTTGTTAATGGTGCCCTCCCCAGCCTGTTGGGGCTAGATTGGTTTCCCTCCCTCGGCCTTAGTGTAACTGGGATCCATGCTGTCTCAACTTCTGACGTAGATGCATTAATTTCAGATTATTCTGATGTGTTTAGCAGCGAGCTGGGTTGCTATTCTGGCACCCCCATCTCGTTCTCTGTAGACCCCCAGGCAATCCCTCTTCGCCTAAAGCCACGCAGGGTGCCTTTCGCCATCCGTCCCAAATTGGATGCGGAATTAGATAAGCTACTTAAGCAAGGGGTGTTAGAACCTACTGATTTCGCCAAATGGGAGACCCCCATAGTCACCCCACTCAAGAGGGACGGCAGTTTAAGAATCTGCGCAGACTACAAAACCACCCTCAACCGTTACCTACAGGTCAGCACATACCCTGTCCCCGTTATTCAGCACCTGTTACACACCTTCGAACCCGGCACCATTTTCGCCAAGTTAGATATGTCCCAGGCATACCAACAGTTCCCTGTTGATGATCAGACAGCTGAATTACAAACCATAGTCACTCATAGAGGGGCATTCAAATGTAAACGCCTCCAATTCGGTGTAAGTGTGGCCCCGGGTATATTCCAATCACTCATGGAAAGGATTCTCCAAGGTCTCCCAGGGGTTGTTCCTTATTTCGATGACATCTTAGTCTCAGCTATTGACCGACCTCAACTCATACAGAGGGTTAGGGCAGTTCTAGAGAAGTTTAGGCAGCATGGCCTCAAGCTTAAAAGGGAGAAGTGCGCCATCGCCACTAGGCAAGTGGACTTTCTGGGTTATAGGATAGATGCCGCTGGCATCCACCCAATTGAGTCCAAGGTAAAGGCCATCCATGAGGCACCCACACCAACTAACAAGACGGAGCTCCAAGCTTTTCTGGGGCTACTAAACTTTTACGCCTCATTTCTCCCGCACAAAGCATCTGTCGCTGAACCCTTACATAGACTGTTAGATAAAGACTCACCCTGGCATTGGGGACCCAAAGAAGCCCATGCCTTCAAGTCAGTCAAATCCTTACTCACATCGGAAGCAGTCTTAATTCAGTTTGATCAACGTCTTCCCCTGGTCCTAGCTGCTGACGCATCCCCTTTGGGGATTGGGGCTGTCCTAAGCCACAGACTTCCCAACGGCTCCGAGGCACCAATTGCCTTCTTCTCTAGGACCTTCTCTACTGCAGAAAGGAACTACAGTCAAATAGATAAAGAGGCCCTGGCTGCGGTTGCTGCAGTTAAAAAGTTCCATGAATTTTTGTTTGGGCACCATTTTGAACTGGTAACTGACCATAAACCTCTCCTGGGACTCTTATCTGGAGATAAGCAAACCCCGCAGGTACTTTCACCCAGAATGACCAGATGGACTTTGTTTCTGGCCGCTTACTCATTCAAGTTGGTGCATCGACCTGGCAAGAAGTCACGCCGATGCCCTTAGTCGCTGCCCCCTACCAGTCCCAGTCGAAGACCCAGCACCGATTCATGCCATTTTTGAGGTCAAAGAACTTAAACTGCCAGTAACAGCAGAGGACATTGCTGCACACTCAAAAAAAGACAAGATAATTACCCAGGTTCTGGACTGGGTGGGAAGGGGGTGGCCAGAAACTCAATGTACAGTTGACTTTGCTCCTTTTAAAACCCGTCAGCAGGAACTGTCGAAGCTACAGGGATGTCTATTGTGGGGTACGAGAGTAGTCATTCCAGACACCCTTCGTGTACCCATCCTGAAGGTGCTTCACGAGGGCCACCCGGGCATTGTAAGGATGAAGGCTTTGGCCCGCAGCTACGTTTGGTGGCCCGGCATGGATGCCCAAATCGCTAGCTGGGTAAGCTCATGCCAACCTTGCCAAAAAACCAGGGCTGCCCCACCAGCTGCCACACCTACCAGATGGGAAAGTGCTAGTGCCCCTTGGTCTCGCCTGCACATCGACCTGGCTGGACCGGTGCATGGCAGGACCTTCTTGGTGGTCGTGGACTCCTACTCCAAGTGGATAGACTTGGCCCTGCTTCCCACGACCACTACCCAAGCAATAGTTAAAGCCCTGACCCGCTTATTTGCCACCCATGGACTTCCTGACACGCTGGTATCTGACAATGGCCCGCAGTTCACATCATGTGAGTTCAGTATGTACGCTGCTAACTTGGGCATCAGACACATCCTTACAGCTCCCTTTCACCCCGCTAGAACGGGATGGCTGAGAGAGCAGTCAGGTCAGCCAAGGAGGCACTCGCCAGGTTTGGCCAGGAAAACTGGCACTCTAAACTGTCTCGTTACCTTCTCAGCCAACATATGACGCTTTGCACCACTACTAACAAATCCCCTGCCAAACTCTTGATGGGGAGATGCCTTAGGACCACCCTGGACAGGTTACACCCCCACTACTGCCCAGACACCCCTTTAGGGTCTGACAGTCTGGTCAGGGACTTTGTCCTGCATGACTTGGTGTACGCCAGGAATTATGCAGGGGATCCTTTGTGGGTACCAGGTCAAGTCGTGTCAGTCACAGGTCCAAGATCCTACAGGGTCCTCCTGGAAGATGGACGCTTGTGGCGGAGACACGTGGACCAACTCAGAAGGTGACGGAGAAGTGCGGCCGATACCGACCCAACCCGACCTGCCAGCGCCAAAGTCTCCTTACCGGTGCCAGACGGAAGCTCCCTGCGGAACCCGGTCTTCCCCGTCGATCAGGAGAGGTTGCTGGAGGACCCGAGTTTCCGGCTAGAATCACTGAGCCAACAGCCAAGCGAGCCAGTTTGCCAACCGGACCTAGCGGCTCTCCCAGGTCAGCCCGAACAGGGGGAATCGCCGAACTCTCAGAACACTACACCAGGTCAAGCCCATGCCCCAACGACCGTCGAGGCATGTCCCGAGTGCCTGGACTTGACACCAGCCAACAGTTTACCCGAGCTGCGACGTTCTGGTCGCCAGCGCAGACAACCTACTTACCTACAGGACTACGCATGTTCCCAGCTGGGGGAAAGGAGTGTTATGTCTGTGGAACTGGTTGGAGTTGCCAATCAGGTCCGCTGTTTGAGCGGGAGCACCAGCCGCTCCCATTGGCTGGCTCCGTTTGACAGTCGGCTATAAAAGCCGGCTGTCGAGCAGAGCCAGCCCTGTTGTCGCCAGCTAGTCTGCTAGTTAGCAAGCAGACGCGACAACCCTTTATTCTCTGCAATAAAGCCTTGTTAGTTGTATGCTCTGGTTTCTGCCTCTTCCTTACCATCGCTCAACAACAGATACCATTAAAAATAGTTACTGGAGCATCTTTGTGATGAACTTTGAATGATGCATGGATGAGACATATTACTGACACAAGATGAAAGGTATCTGATATGGTTCATTTGACCCCAATGTAATAGCAAGAAGGTTTTTTTTCTAGTCATCCTAAAAGGAATTTGGAAAAGAATCGATACTTATGAAATACCACGTAACAATAGATATATTGGAGAACTGAAATATGAGTTATAGATCCCTGACACATATTATTTGTAGCAAGGTAGAGTGAGGGTACCATTTTCATTAACTAATATGCATAAAATTGAAACCATTCCATTTCAAGTCTGAATCCAGAGGTGGTATTCAGCTGGTTCTAACCAGTTCTGGAGAACTGGTAGTGGAAATTTTGAGTAGTTCAGAGAACCAGCAACTCCAACTTCTGACTGGAGATTTTACAGTATCCTTCCCCTGCCACATCCACCAAGCCATGCCCACAGAAACAGAGTTCAAAAAAATTGAATCCCACCACTGTCTGAATCATTATACTGAGTTTATTAAAATTTACAGAGCTTGGGAGGGGTATATAGCTGGGATGGTCAGAATCAGAAGGTTGTTCTGGTGCACAAAAACAATACTTGATCGTGGTATTTTCAGGAAGGAATCCAGGAAGTGATCAGGAAATTATTGATATGGTTTCTTAAACAATATTGAAACTGAAAATTACGCATTTTATCATGTTCTTTTTTATTTAGGTTTGTATGGATATGTATGTTTAAGAAAATTATAATCCTCATTTAAGAAGTTGTCCTTTCTGGGGCATATTCTAATAGAAAGAGATCATTTTCATTTTCTTTTCCTTATTCATTGCAGACCAATTATAATGAATCAATAGAAATGATGTTATAATAGCTAGATGCAGCTGCTCTTAATGATAAATTAATAGGTTCACTTCAGATAATAGGAGTCAGGAAATGCAGTTCAGTATTTCAATATTTCACATAGATCTCAAAGAATGCAATATACAAAAATACTATAGGTGTTTTCTTTTCTTTTTTCTTTTACTCTGAGAAAAAGGAGAGGGGAATAACTTGGTGATTTTAAAACCAAGCAATTAACATAAACAAAGGATGGAGATCCATTTAGAAATAAATGACAGAAAGTATAAGATAGATGTACTGTAATAATTTAAGCATGGTTGGTAGATAACTTATGGTTTATCTTTTATAGCAAATGAGAAATGTTGAAATATAAAATTCCTGAGATATAGCTTAGGCAAAACTCCAGGAACCATACTTCAGGAGATTTTAATGAGTTGTAAAACAGAACCCCTGCTGTAATTAATTTGTAGTTAAGAGTCCTTTTACACAGCAATCTGTTTTGTCATTTACAAATAAATTTTCTGTAACACAGAAAAAGGAGAGAATTAAACAAACTGTATAAAACATTTACAAAAAAAAAAATATTATTCCATGGTAGTTATGAAATCTTATATCAAGTTGTAGCTGACACCAGGTGCCTTTATATTGAAAAGCATCTCAAGTGTCCTGTTTCTCACTGTATTACACTGTTCTTGCAGATGCAATCCTGCAGCTTCATATTCGGTATATCCATTTCATGCACTGTTAGCTTCTCGTTTATCTTAATTTTTTCTAATTTGCCAGTAGTCATTATCTTTGTTTCCTTGAGGTTCAAAGAAAGCTCAGTCTTTTCATCATCCTGATTTACATTTCTAATTACTATTTGTAGCTCTTCTCCTTCTTGAAGTCAAGATAGTGTCTTCTGCAGGTTTCAGGACACTGACATTCTTTCCACAGATTTTGATACCAAGCTTCAGTTCTTCCATATCCATGGTATGTATAATTCAAGAGAGAGAGACAAAGAGACAGAGAGACAGACACACACACACACACAAACACACACACACACACAAACACACACACACAGAGAGAGAGAGAGAGAGACAGAGACAGAGACAGAGACAGAGACAGAGACAGAGAGAGAGACAGATATAATCAAAAGCTTTGGGTTAGTGAACAGAAACAGTATAAAATTAGGACATTAAATAAACCTTGCACATTTAACACATCTCTGCAATGCTCTCCAAAATCTTAACTAGAATTTTAACATGGTAGCAGTGTTCCCATATCTCAGGGGTTGCCACAAAAAAGAGGTAGTTAAGCAATAGATGGAAACTAAGAAGAAATGTCTTGACAGAACAATTAATCAGTGGAACAACGTGCCTCCAGACGTTGTAAAGGCTCCAACACTGGAAGTTTTTAAGAAGCGATTTCTATTTTTTAAGAAACATTTCTCTGAAATGGCATAGGTTTTCCTGCCTAGCAGGGATTGAATTAGAAGACCTCCAAGGTCCTTCCAACTCTGTTATTCTATTCTATTCTATTCTATTCTATTCTATTCTATTCTATTCTATTCTA